GTAGTATGAAAGAATGCTTTGTCTAGCTTCAAATGATTCTTGGAATTATCACGTCTTTATCGAAATATATAATTTATAATTTCGTGTTTTTTAATATCGTCGATTTATTTTATAGACAATGGAGAATTTTCACTGTGCGATTGGCCCAATTTTGTGCATCGCTCAAGTGTTCGGTTTATTTCCAGTGAGCGGAATCCGGTGCCCTTCGCTATCAAAGCTTCAATTCAAGAGATTTTCGTTTCTTACTGTCTATTCAGCTTGCCTCGCATTAATGGTCTGTTTCATGACCGTTATATCAGTGATTCATATGTTGAAAACTTTCAACACTGACGCAATTCAAGCTCGCGGTAAGTTAAATCCATTGGTACAACGCTATTTATACGCGTGTCTAAGTGCATTTCCGTAATACATTTGCATGATCGTTCGTCATTCCATTTTTATTAATAACGGAGTAAATTTTCATTTGTAAATTGAAAGTTAATTATCAAGATATGTAAGTTAATTTCAGGGAGAACGTCATTTGTGCAAGGCGCGGCTCGAATCGATCGCTGTGATATTTGAGCTCCTCCCGATGGTTTAATAAGAAGAATCCATTAAATGACTGTTCTTCAATTATAAGTAAAATCTAATATAAAAAGCTTTCCCAAACGCCTGTTCACGTCTGTAAATTTTATTTCCATTCTTTCCGATCATATAACAAAAATATATTGATTATGTTGTCAAAGAATAATGAAATTTCTCTAGGATCAAGCATGATATACGATAATAAGATAACGGGTTGATTATATCGCGTTCCAGGTGGGATAGGTGCGGCAACCGTTGGTGCAGTGTTCTATGGGAATAGTCTGCTGGCCAGCGTTTCATTTTTTTGGCTATCTTCTCGTTGGGTACCGCTTCAGTACGAGTGGAGGGCCATGGAACAGTACGTGGACAGGTATCGGTATCGTGACATTCATGCCGAGTTCACTAATCGCTTTGTTTGCTGCTTATCCGGTGCGCACGCGAACACAGATTGCGAGGGCAGCGGCGGTAATTGGTTTATTCTAGCCGGCAAACGCGATACCGCGAGATCTCCCGAAGATCTGATTGCAAAGCCTTCCACAACAACGAGGGAAAAAATAAAAATATCGAGTTTTACCCTTTTATTTTATAACATGATTGCCATGCTTAATTATAATATAATGCTCATGATTTGTTCAACATACAGACTTATCGTTCCAGAAATTCTTCAGAGACGACACGACTTCGATGGAAGTTTTACCTCATAAGTTTCGTGATCTTAGTCTGCTCCTTCACAGAACATGTTCTAAGCATATTCAATAATGTCGAAGGGTACGACTGGCACGGATCGAACTCGACGTTCCGTAATTTTATGAAGATATACACTTTGCGGTCACACTCATTCCTTTTTGACACACGTGAGATACAATTGTATGAACACGAGGAGTACCTAGGAGCAACGCGATTTAATCAGAGTCATTCAATTTCAGTAAATTACAATTTTGCCTTCGGCATATACATTTTCGTCATTAGTAAAATAGCGACTTTCACTTGGAACTTCACGGACCTGTTTATCATGCTGGTAAATAACGCGAACAGTATATTCCGTGGTTCATTGCAATTATATTAACTAATTAATGTACTGAATAATGCAATGCACGTACGGAATTAGTCAGTCTGTTAAGAATTCAATGTGAATTGTCAGGTGGCTACTGGTTTAGCCGAGAAGTATAAATCTCTGAACAAAAGATTAGCAGTGATAGTGACCAGGCATCAGTCACTATTGTTAGATCAATGGGCAGAGCTTCGTGAGAAATATGCGACACTGAGTTGTTTCGTGAAAAACGTCGATGACCATATTTCCCATATCGTCCTCCTGTCTTTTGCGAACAACCTGTACTTCATCTGTGTCCAATTATTAAATGGCTTATCGTAAGTACGATCTGTTCTTTCATTTCATTTCAGAAATAAAATAATGTGTCTAAAGACCTCTGCAAGTTTCAGAAGTACAACTATAAAAATCAACATTGCTGCTATTTATGTAGCACTGTTTAAACAGTTATCTTAATTTTGTTCAATAGATCATGGGAGAACAGTTTGAGCGCAGTCTACTTCTTTGGTTCCTTCGGATTTCTTATCGGTCGTACATGTGCTGTTACTTTACTCACCGCTAGAATATACGATCAGAGTAAGGAGGCATTACCTCACTTGTACAGATGCTCGCCATCAAATTATTGCATCGAGGTAGTTTCCAAATATCACCATCAATTCTTCGTTGGACGCGTTATAATAAAAGAATCTCGTTATCGCAGGTTCAGAGATTGCAACATCAATTGGCGACTGACGAAGTGACTCTGACGGGATTACGTTTCTTTTCTATCACGAGAAATTTTATGCTCGCGGTAAATCAATGTCTGCTTGTATCGCATAATTTAAATCGTTGTAATTTATTAAAAAGAGAACATGATTGCAGGTGGTTGGGGCAATCATAACGTACGAAGTTTTACTCTTACAATTTAATGATAATAAATGAAGTGAAATAATTTTACCAATTATGATTCATGTTTCAATCGTTCTCCGAAAACGTTTTCGTAATATGCTGTATATTTATATAAAAAGAATCTATATGTATACATTATATATATAATTTTCTACGAACGACATTGACAAGCTTAAATAAATATCGCTTAAAAATATTGTACAGATGGATTCTGATTTTAATGTAACATTTTAAAATTTATATTGTACCTGAATAAAAATGATATGAAAATAAGAAACATCGATCAGCAGCTTACATAAATTTGTTAACAAAAATTGAGAAAAATATTGAATATCGTATTTTAAAATTAAAATCATGAACCATGATGTTCGATCCTTGTAACAAGAGGATTTAGAAATAAAGGAACACTGCAAGAAATTATTATTTTCTTAATTAATACAGTTTATTCATTTTTACAAGTGATGATACGTGTGATAGCTACAATTCTATATCCATTTTAAAAATAGATAACATTTTATGTAACATCTAATCGTACGTTTTAATAATTAAAATTAAAATCAGTACGCGATAGATTAGTTTAAGAAGAGACCGAAGAATACAAAGTAGTTCCTTCCATGCGTAGAAATTTCCGAATACCTCGAAATTATCTCTGAATGTCCAATGAGAATGACTATAACAAATAAAATATTCTCAAAATAGAAACACGCTATAATTCATATTAATAGAAGTTGTAATTCACATTAACAATAACCAAGCTGCGGATGAATATTCGTGAAGATAATTTTATCTCGAACTAAATAGAAGTTCGTTCTATCTACTAAACATTCTAGCACATTAAAACGTCCGCAATGTATCTAGCAACATTCATTTGTCTTCATTATCACCGTTTAATCGTGACAGCAAGCGAGCTGTCCACATATAATAGAATTTTATTTTTAAATATGGAACAATCATATCTAATGCACGTGACGCAGCTAAAAGCTGATGAATATCGTACAAGCGGATATGTTACAGAGATCGCAGATAATAAATTATATTTACATAGTTTCAATAAAACTGGTCTTAAATTGTTTATAAATCAAATATATATTAAAATACAAAGTATTCCAAAGTTATGTGATTAATTAGTTGCTTGATCCATCTTTATTTTTTATTCATAATACCTCTCTAGTCTGGTTTGTAAATTATCAATTTTGGAATGCCTTGTAATGTATGAAATATAAACTAAAAACATGAGAATTTCTTTTNTTTAACCGCTTCATATATTTTTTTATTGAATATTAATAATGTAATATACATACATATGTTCAAAAGTTTAATATTTTTTAAGAAAAATACTAATCCTTCCTTATCTGCCCTTAATCCTTAGATGCCCTATATAAGAAAGAATTGCAGAGAATACTTGAAGGGAAGATAGAATAAGGATGTATGTATGTATTGTACAAAATTGCAAGGCATGGTGTAGTTCGGGTGGCACTGTATGTACAGCAGCTGGGGCAGTAAGCGCGATTTAATTTACAGTATGAAATTAAAATTAATTGTGCAAATTCACGAACTAGCCGAATATTCAGGCGAAAAAGAGAGGTGAGATACGCAATTTTCGAAAACGTGTCTCGTGCTTGAACACACGATTACTTCACCTCGCACACCTCCGTACTGTTAAGCGTGTTGTTTTGCTGCGCATTCTGATTGAACTGAACCAGGACCAATTCGTACGTAACTATCGTTCCTGCTACCTGAAACACGTTACCATTATTTATTTATCATTATATCATTGCATTTAACCCTTTCGCGACGGATGCCGTGTATATACGGCAGTCACCTAGTGCATCACAGCGGCTGACGCCGTGTATATACGGCAGCCAATTTTTAGTCCACAGGGGCTGACGCCGCTTATACACGGCACCACTTATCTTACTTACTTACTTTTACTTAGGCGAAAAGTAGCAAAGTATGGTACAGGTGCGCCGTCGCGAAAGGGTTAATGCTTGAATTAAATAAAAATGATTGTTCGTAACTTTCAAGTTAATTAGTATATAAAATATGTCAAATACAATAGATATTTATGTTGAAAAAAAATTAGAATTTCCAGTATAGATTATTTTATTAGAACGTACGGTCAACACGAGACTCCTAGTCACCGAGAAAAACTTCATACCGGTTAAACAGATGCTATCTGTCGTTACCTGTGACAAGAATCTCATCACCTATGGAAAACATAATTAAACAAGATTAATTTAATCGTTCACTGTGAGCAGTAAAATTAATATAATAATTTGATGTTATTGAGCTGAAGACAGTCCATTACGTATTACTATGTCATTTTTCATTTTTCATTTTAAAAAAGTCATAAGGAAATATTTTGATTGATAAGAAAACGAGAGTTTTACCTCAGTGGAGAAGCTGCTTCCTGAAACGCTGTACAGAATCGGTGCTGGTAGCAGCGATTCATCATGAATTGACGCGGCGCACAAAGAGACAACCGTGGTCCTTGCCAAGAGAAATCCGAAGGAGAAGCCGAAGTAAACTTTCTCGATGACGCTTCGCATGGGGCTGTTCAAAAGTTGAACATTAAGTTCGTTTGTATTCGTGCGACGAGCGAGGATTAAGAACATTAATTACATTTCATAGAATGAGAGAAGAGTAGATCTGAAGCTAGAAGATTACAGTGGATTAGATTGTGTTGTTCAGGCGAATTGAAAGTGCGTGGTAATTTAAGAACTGTTCCAACTGATATTTTGAAATAACAGTAAATGTTGTTGATGATATAGATAGATATAGATGTGCATGTAAGTAGCTGTAACAATAAAGTCTCAAATTGTTAATGCTGTGAGTTATAGTTTAACACACTTTATGTTATAAATTGTAGACGAAGCAAGAAGTGTGCATAGAGCAGATGTTTTAAGAAGTGAAAAGTTTCTTAATCAATTTTAATTATAATTTACAACTCACTATAATTTGTATTTTAATCAAATATTCTTGACTTATTGATTTATTCTTGACTTATTGATTATTTTTGACTATCATTTCTTGCAGTAATCGAAATATTCGAACGTAATTTTTAATTAAGTTATAATGAGTTTCAGAGTACAAATATAAATCGGACAGTAGTAGAATTTTAGAAATCTGTAGCAACAGGTTCCAAATGTAAATAAAGCGTAGACATCTAGTTAAGATAACGAGACGACATGCACAAACAAAATCACATCTTGTCGTGTATACTTGAAAGAGAAAAGTAGTTGTATGCAGATGAAATACAAATCGGTGGCGAAGGAGAGGAGGACCATAATGGAGATATGAGAATCCAGTTGCCTCGTCAGGGTCGCTAAGTGGTTGTAGTCGTTCCTTACTTCGGCCCACCACCATTCCGGCATTGCCTTAACAGTGAAATGATACTGACGACAAAGACTCGTCGTTAGAAACGATATGTACATACACGTATGATGTGCATCGTTCAGGTAGCATCTTACGAATAATCGCATAACAAATATTAAATATTAATTAGAAATCATATCTGTAATAGGAAAGTGCAGTCTATAATTGCTATTCTAAATCATCAAATTTACAAAGTGCAATCAAATTACATACAGCTGTAAACTATATACAACGTACTACAATTATAAATACACGAAATAAATCTAAAAAAAATTTGATTATTGTTTTCTATTGCAATTGTACTTCCTACAGTCACAACTTACAAGGGATTTTTTAAAACACTTACCTTGCCTCTTATAGAGTATAAACGATTATTTAATTGTCGGAACTGATCGGTCAGAGCTATGCTAATGAGGATGAGAAACAGGTCGACGAAATTCCACGAAAAGGTGCTGAGGATGTTGATGACGTCCACGACTATGCCTCTCCATAAACTGTACGAAATTCTGGAAAATATCTTTGGGAACATATTTTTAGAATTTTTTCTTAATTTAAGTGAAACATTGGCGAATGGGTGAGAGTAGCTACCTGTGGGAANTACAGCAGACAAGGACATGATATAGCTGGATATCGATTTAACGTTTATCAGGGTACGCATTAAGCCTTCATTGATATTGAATGAGATGATTTACAAACCAAAGTAATAAAACTTTTAAAAAAATCCTGCTTATATTATCGATCAGGGTGAAAAAAAGATGTAATAATAAAAATTACCACTTACATAAAGCAAGAGTCATTACCACTATGGTCACGACCTTGAATTTCGTAGCCAAATTAACTTTGGATAATTTCCTATGTCTGTTCGAAAGCTCATTTTCAAGCTTCTCCCAAGTTAGCATCAAACAAGGCCACTGCATGGCCAATTTAAGGAAAAGGAAGGAGGCGATCAAATTTGTTCCATTGAAAACGAACGTAGCTTGCGTAAAAAAATGATAAGGTGTTATTTACAATCTGGTAGAAAGCTAATAAAAGGGATCAATCTTGTGATAATGAAATTGCTAACTAAAGCGATCTTACTCATTTTCGTTGAATTCACTCCAGTATAGATTATTCTCATAATGTTAAAAATAGTCATCATCGATGAACCGAGGAATGAAATAGCGCAATATATAAATTTCGGACTGCGCCAAGTAAATCTGATTATGAAATTAATATCAGATTAGACAAAAATTAACATTATTTATAAATGATATAAGTATCCATCAATTCTTAATTCTAATCAATTCTGTAATCATACGAATGTTTAGATAACGACAGAGTGAGACATGAATTACCTAAGAAACGATGCATCGGGAGTGTTAACACCGGAAACAGGGAACAGAGAAAAACATTGCGCCAACATAATAATTGGTCTCATAGACGCGTGCAGGCTATCAGTCTTTGGATTGAACGCACTGGAGGACGGTACCACTCGTTGCGACACTAAGAATTCATTTCAATCAATACTTGCACATTTATATTGTCAATAAATTTTTTTACAATTGACAAAGAAAAATTTACTTCCGACAGGTTCTTCTTCCGGCTTCAGATTTCCGAACTTGCCAAACAGCGAGCTGCTCTTAGGCGACCTGTGAATCCCAACCATGACAAATTTTTCATAAGCACACAGATTATAATGACACGGAATGTTTAACAATAAGATGAATTATTATGAATTAGGGTTTAATTATAAGGAAGTTTAATTTTACTTTAAATTTTAGCAATGATGTTAGTTGCTGGTTTCAATTTATAACGACTCACTGTTCGTATAATAATGCTCTTGGGCTCACGATAGTTAAAATATAGAAATTTCACTTTCACTTACAATGATTGAACATTCTTGACAATGTAGAAGAAAATATGTAAATGCAAGAAATTATGAACTGACGTTAAAGAAGGAAGGGTGATTAAAAGATGATAGAGATGATTGCAATGATCTATGAACCTTCTACGCAGCGCGTCGCGATCGACGGTGTACACGGCACAGGATCGCATGGCGAACAGAGGATAAACTCGTTATTTCAGAGTTTTATCGTGCGTCAGGGTAAAAGGGTGGAGGGTGTTTTATAGACAGGAATCTCAATAAAAGTGTCCGCTTGAGCGGTCGTCGGAAAGTTTGGCTCGATCGGCTGAATCAGCAGATGTATGAATCTCTGCTACATAACGAATTGCAAAAAAAAAAGTTTTGCAAAACAGCAATTTACATAAAATTTATTCAGTATTAAAATGAGCACTAATTTGTTAGTTGCATTGTTGATGCTTGCAGGTATGAAAAAAGAAATAATTAATGAAAATATTAATTTTTCTATACATACCTGACATTGACGGACAATATATTTGGGGTCTTCATAACTGAGAAACTTAGGGGATGCTTTCCTTCTAATGTTTTCTCTAAATCGTCACTTAACATTTTACCCAGATCAAAAAGTCTGACAGACATTAGATATTCACCGCAACTCACTGATTCACACTAATTTCAAGATGTGAACATGAATTATGAAACATGATTGAGAAATAAAAAAGAAGCCAAATGAAAAGACTTGATATGTATTTTCGAATGTCTTGACACACGTCTTTTATGTAGTATGATGAACCGAAAGAAACTTCGCTATACGATCACGATCTTGGAAATCGTGCAATTAAAAGATGTGGAAAAAGGTGAAGGGAAACGAGTGCAGTGCGATGTGTCACGTGACAAATTGTGCTTCCTTCGTTGCAGAGCGCGTCAGGAAATGAACTGAAAGATATACGAGCCCATGGCACTAGGTACTTAGGTACATATCACATTGTTTATATAGCTCGATGTATAAACTATGACAGAGAAATAACTGATATGCACTACTGCGGTGCAGGTTTATACATACACACCGTAACAGTACTCACAGTATAAGACATAATGCACAGACAATTCAGACACTTAACGCAAATATTGTATATTTATTTATTTTATACTACTTCCCTTTATTCCAATTCGGAATAATTTTCACCTGAGAGTGAGAATATTACTTTTTGAACACGCAGTATAATGATGAAGGACGTCGATAACCATCTTTAGGAAGAATAATCGTGAACCGTCAGGCGCTCATGTTTTTCTGTTTAGAACAAACTTTACTGAATATTTACAATAAATCTTTAACGATTTCTGTTTGCATTCTCAGTATTCCACTATATTAAGGACGTATTGGCTATACAGTCAATCCCAAATGTTTATGCACTTTAGAAACGCATTTTTTAAAAAGAAATCAGACGTCGGAAGAACATTGCTAATAATAAA